GTAGCCTCGTCCTTCCAGCCCACACATCTACCCTCAACTCTAGAATCATCTGTCCATCAGCCTATTAGGAGTCTCCACCTGGAGGTCTAACAGTTGACTCAACATAGCCAATCCTTGATTTTTGATTTTTTCTATTATTCCCAAATATAATCTTTATTCCATTTTCAAAGCACTCAATTTAAGACTATAATTAATGTTAGTTGTGTTAACTTGGGAGGCTGAGGATGACACAGGCGACTATGTTTATGCATTAGAGCATCACACCCTATGTTCTGGTGTACTCTGTGGCCATATCGTATAGTGGATAACACTGATGAGGTACACTTGGCTCCGAGGAGGTTTAACCTGGCATAGGCCAGACAAGGCTAACTGCAGATTGCTCCATCTCAGGTAGATAAGACTAGTCTTGGTAGAGGGGAAGCATTTAAGTTTACTGACGGTCAGACAAGGTCTTCGCTCACCTCAGGCCTAATAGTTTCAACTGTGTGCCCACTGGTGTGGCCCAGGTAAGCCTAAAAGTTTATACCTTTGTCTCTCTTTGGGAAATGTTGCTGCCATGTATCTTGGCTTAGCTAATATCTCATCGCTCACCTCAGGCCTAATAGTTTCAACTGTGTGCCCACTGGTGTGGCCCAGGTAAGCCTAAAAGCTTATACCTTTGTCTCTCTTTGGGAAATGTTGCTGCCATGTATCTTGGCTTAGCTAATATCTCCCCACATACTTTAGCTAAGTAAGCATGTTAAAAATATTCTACTAAGGTCTGACCAATCCAATCTGACTCCACTAATGACATCTGTGACATATTCCATACATATGTCCCTTACATGTTTAGATGAAATATTTACACATAAAATATTGTAACATTCATTCTTCAAAGTTTCAAAGAATTTAATAATAACCAAAAAGTATTAGATAAAGTCTATATGGCTTTATGCTAATTTTCTGCAGGAATAAGAATAGTAGATGTTGACAAATTCATTACCTTTGCATCTAGTTTATGATTTGTACTGTTACGTCCCACTTCATCTTTATACATTTGATTTCGGATCTTTTCTAGAGTAGTTCGAATCTAGAGAAAAATATAAAAAAATTTATATTTCTCAAAGGCATTTAATGCCAAATGCTTGTTTTCTGTTACTAGCTACAGGGTTCCTAAGTTATCTAGAAAGTAATACATATATACTGATGTCAGAGTTAAATAACTGCCATCAACCTAACTTGCATTTAGGCTAATCTTGTTTAGATTGCTGAAAATAGCATTTGGTCTTTATAGCTCTTTCTCAGACAAACCTAAAATATGGTAATCTAAATGAATATTATACTACAAAATAAATATTATTTAGTAATTAGCACTTAATACTATTTAGCCCTATTTTGTCTATATAGTCATTTAGTACTAATTTATTGTTTAGTAATCACTATAAAACAATTACTATTTAGTATTCACTACAAAATAATTACTATTAAGTAATTACTACAAAATAATTACTATCAAGTAATTACTACAAAATAATTACTATTAAGTAATTACTACAAAATAATTACTAAGAGGAGATCATACAAATTTATGCATGAAATATAAGCCCCATGTCTTGATGACCTATGGAGTGGTAAAGCACTCATGGCTGATTTAATTAATTGATCTGAACAAGTTATGAACTATGTCAATTGATCCATCTGTTCTAAGAAACAATAAAAATATATACTTTTGTCAGCTATTATCATCTTGGATTCTCATAAGACTTCACGTTTTTAATGAAGTAACATGCTGACATGTTGAGGCTGGCAATACCCGCCCTGAACTGTGAAAAGGCCCAAGGTGAGGAGAGACTGACTCAGCAGGAAACATAAACATCTACGCAGGAACACATCATCAACACTCACAGAACAACTGGGAAACAGCATAAAACAGTAGGAAATCCAGTGGTGAAAAGTGTGGGAAAAATTAAGTGTTGATAGGTGTTTTGAGCCCTCTTGGCCCATTCTTCAATTTTACCGAGTGAAGAAAATTATTTTACTCCAAGCGTAGGAATGATTTCATATCCTTAGAAATTACTAAACATGTGCTCAAATTTCAGCTATCAAGAATGTCCTTTGCCAGACTAGGTTTGTTCCTTTTCAAATATTATTTGGAGAGGAAAACAAGATCCACCAACCCATATTAGAATCTATCTTAAAAATCCTATCATGCTAATGATTCCCAGGACCCACATACCTTTCGCACATATTCAGTTTCTTCAATAATGTGAGCTGCTGTCAACTCATACAAGGCGGGATTATCTTCTGTCTTACCCCTGGAGGGAACTTCTGTGGTCACTGTTACTGTTGTCATTGCGAATCTGGCTTTAGAAAATCACAAATCAGCCCAGCAAAAAAGGCTTTTTGAATATATGATTATATGGTTCATAAACTGAAAGAAGTTGTTTTATCACTGCAATCAAATACAGTTGGAAATTTTAAGTCATTGGTATCCGTATATATTCTTAAATCCAGGAATTACTTTACTATAAAACAATACCACCTGAAACAATCATTTTTTAAAAATGTAAAAACTAAACACTCTGAGAAGGAAAAATGTGAAATTTCTCTTTTTATTCAGCATCATCTTTACAACATCAGACTATAAAACCTCAGGAGTAGGGATCATATCTTATTCATTTTTATATTCTGGCACATTGTAAGTGCTTAATAAATGTCTGTGGAAGTAACATAATACAATTATAACAAAATCATGTTGTGTATGTGTCTTTATACATCATCTTTAAAGACTATTTACTCAAGAAATATATGTATTAGTGAAAGACTAAAAAAACCCAAATGCCCAACAACAATAAAAAAAAAAAAACAACTGGTTGAATAAACTGTCTGCTGGTAGAGACTCATCTGCACAATTTATTATTCAATAAAAAAGTATGGTACGGAAAGGAATACATAGTATCATGTTTTTTACAAATATAAGAGGGGTGGGACATATGAATGGAAAGGGAAAAATTTATGTCCTATAGTTTTGACACTGATCCATATAAATATTTTATCTAATTATAAACAAAATTAAAAGAAAAAGCAATCATCCAAAATAAAAACAGAATGAAACAAATGAAATAAATATATATCAAGTCCGTTGATATTTATTTAAAAACACATGCCAGGGACTATTTATCTCTGGAGTGCTATACAGTATTCTAAGAACAAAAAGAATGGCAAAAAATGTTAAACTATCTTCACTAATAACATTGTTAGTGGAAATACTGGTATTGCTATTTTGAAACTACTACTGTGTGTGTATTCATGTGTGTATATGTGCACAGTTTCATAGTGTAGAATAAAACCAGTAAGTAATTGCATAAATGCCATAAAGAATTAAGATTTTTAACATACAAGAAAAAATAAATATAGAACTAAAAATGTTAGGTAAAAACCTTATAATCTAAATTGAAATTATGAAGCTGAACCCAGCTGCAACAAGGCAAGCTGCCACCACTGCCCCTGGCCCTGCCAAGGTCCTGAGGTATGGAGCCAGGGGAAGCAAAACCCAGCCACAACCAGGTAAAGAGCACACCAAAAACACCATTTTCATGCAGGTAGCCCATCATAGCCACCGTAATTGCCATGGCTGCCGCAGAGGCAGCTAGTCTCTACAGCAGCAGTCACAGCCACTGTGCAGATGTCATTCCAGACTCTCAACTGTATTGACACAAGGAGTGGCACCAGCACAGAACAAAAAAATAAAAAATAAAAAGAAGAGGTTCTCTCTCTCCACAAAGCACTCCAAAGTGATAGAAGCAGCGTCTGATTTATGATAATAGGGGAGGACTTGATCACACCTGTCTCAGTACTGGACAGATCATCTAGGCAACAAACCAAGAGAGGAACAGTTAATCTATCAGATGGAGAGAACGAGTCTATGGTTATTAGAGGGGAAGGGGGTAAGGAAGGGGAGAGATTGGATAAGGGGCTTAAAGAATAAGTATGATTTGTAACAATGAATGTACTAATAAAAAAATCCTTCCCACGAAAAATGAAAATTAAAAAAAATAGAATTATGAGTATAAAATAATGATGTATTTTTCTTTAAAAATACATATTCTACCTCCATCCATTGAAAAGAAATAGTAGTAATTAGCACTCCTGGTGGCCAGATTGCGGTTTCTATATATTATATCCTCCTAAAAAGAAATAAACCAATGCTTCTTGGCTGATTCAGTTTGGGGCAAGAAATACATAAAGTGAAAGTGAGATACCTGGTCGTACCAGTGAGCAAAAACGTGATCAGGTACTGCCTGAATAAGACACAAAAGCCATCCTGAAGAGGAATGACTCTGATGGATTGAAACATAGCAAAAATGTTAAATTCCTAAATTTATGATGACAGGAGGAAAAACCTGTCCACTTTGGAAGTTGATAAGGCAACAATTCAATGAAGGAAGGAAGACCACAATTATATTAAAAACTGGCACACACCAAAAAACCCTGAAAACAAAAAAACACAAGCATTTTTCTTGTCTTTACTATAGGAACCGTATTTCCTGGTAGCCAAATAGGTGATGAGGGCAAGTTTTCTATGGAATTCTGCTAATAAATTCAAAAGGATTGATAGAATTAGAAAATCTGCATTTTGCAACCACTTATGAAGTAATAGATCTAAGTAACAATCATTAACCAAAGTTAAAAACATTAGGTGAGAGTTTAATGAAGAATACATTAACTTGAGAGACACCATTAATCAAACTTAAAATAACTAAAAATTGCCATAAATTGACAATCTTAAGAGATCCATGACCAAATGCAATATATGAGTCTTGTTTGGATTCTGACTCAAACAAACCAACTATATGAAGGCATTTTTGAGACTGGCTGGATAATAGATGATGCCAAAGAATAACTGTAATTTTGCTAGCTGTTATAACAGAAATATGACATTCCCGTAAAAGATCTTATCTATTAGTGATACCTACTGAATTATTTGTAGGTGAAATGATATTACATTTGGAACTGCTTTAAAATACTCGAACACAGAGGAAAAAATGGGGTGGGTATAAAGATGAAAGTTGTTTATCAAAATATATGTAATTGTTGAAGCTGGATGATGGGTAAATAGGATTCATTATATTCCTCTATCTACTTTGGTTTTGTTTGTAATTTCCATAATAAATAGTAAAGTACTAAAAAATAAACTAAATTAAAAGTCCTGAGAGGTAGGATTATTAATCCTATTTTAATGATAAGGAAGCCAAGACTCCCATAGTGATGTTAACTTACCCAAGATCACAGTAAAAACAGCAGAGCTAAAACTCAAAACTTGGTCCCCAACACCAAGATCAAGGGTGTTTCCATCACGTTAAGGTTGGCTTCCCTAGAGAGAAACAACAACAACAAAAATATTTAAAATCTAGCAATGTCCTATGCTGCTAAAAAAACATAAGATTTTCATATTTGCCAGCATCTCTTTGAAACAAGATAGCTTCTGGGAATACCTCAAAGTCCTGTATTTATCCTTTAATCTTCAATGAAATTGGCAGAGCATGCCAAGAATTTTTCATTTTATTATAAATCCTCTTAGCAGCCATGGCTTCTATTTGTTTCAGCTGAAGTTGACTTGGCAGCAGTAACTCTGCTTTCGCAAAATATGGGTGAAAGTACTTCTCTTATTTGGTCCTGTGAAATCTCATCCAGGATCAAAGTCTTGGTCCAAAACAACTTTTAAATGCTTGAAGCAAAAGAAACACCGACAGAGACAATAAGCAGCATGCTTGGCAACCAGAGGGAGACGGTCAGGCCAACAGGGTAGG